AAGACACGTTCTATTATCCCTGAGGAAGAAATAAAGTGAAAATACCTTCTTCATGGGATTCAGCTTTGTTTTTCCAGACAGTATGCATTGAGAGGGAGGTAGAGGCTGCAGCATTTTGGTTTCTGCAGGCTGCCAAAGTAATCTAGAGGAAGGTCACGTGTCAGTTGTTAGCACCTTGAGCTGGCAGGAGAGCACAGCCCTCTGGATGGATGCTGACATCCAGGGTGAGGTCCTTGCACATCTCCCCTGCTGGTGGGAAGATCTCAGAGGGGCTCATCCTTGTCTCTGCCATCCAAAGAAGGTGCTGAATTTAAATCAGACTGGAAGCCACCCAAGGGTTTATGTGCCTGACTAGCAGTGATTTGCTTTCAAAAGCATCAACCTCTTTCACCATGCCAAAAATAAAACAGTAGCAAGAGCAACAGGCAACTATAGCAGTAAAAAAATCTGTATTACCTGCTAAAGAAACTGTGGGGTTTTAGCATTCTAAGATGTTAAAAAAAAATCATCATTTACTCAGTGGTTTTGTAATGTGAAAAGCCCCAACATGTGGCATCTAACATCATGATAAGGTAAAGGGTTACTCAGGCCCTGTGGGTGCTCAGTCCTCCTCACTTCAGAAGGAAACAAAAGTGAACTTCCAATTACTGTGGAAGAATCATTGGCTTGGAAAGTAAGGTTAAAAAGAACACCAGGAACGTTTCAGATGCCATTCTAAGATGTTAAAAAAAAATCATCATTTACTCAGTGGTTTTGTAATGTGAAAAGCCCCAACATGTGGCATCTAACATCATGATAAGGTAAAGGGTTACTCAGGCCCTGTGGGTGCTCAGTCCTCATTTCAGAAGGAAACAAAAGTGAACTTCCAATTGCTGTGGAAGAATCATTGGCTTGGAAAGTAAAGTTAAAAAGAGCACCACAAACACTTCAGATGCTTCAGTGTTAAATTGTGCAGTGCTTAAAAGTGGGATGGCTTAAAACTGACAACAAAACTGCATGCTTAGTAGTAGCAGCTTAATTTTGTGAGACTGAAATGTGTTTTTTTTTTTTCTCCTCCATATTGCATGAGTATCTAATCAAGTAAATTAGCTGCAGAAGACAAAGTACAGGCTTGTGAGCCTATAGTTTGTTTAGCAAAGAGAAACCAGTGGTTTTGCCACAGAATGATCCTCACATCTGTGATGTTCTCTTGCTTGGTTTTTTATTTCCATTTATCCTGGCTATGGAAACTAAAAACTAGGCCCTGCTTCAAATTTCAGATGTGTGGTAGCTAATTACAGTCCACATAATCTTAATAAAGAAGTGTCATTAGTTATAAAATATGTTTACTCTAGAGTTTATGGGTAGGGGATGGAGAGTCCAAGCTGCAGAGGGCGGTTGCCAACTGGATGGCTCAGGCTGTGATTTTGTCAATTACTGTGTTTTCTATTTATGTATCTACAAAGCAGAGATGATAAAATATGTCTGTGTCCTAATTGCCTTGAGCTTTTAGCAAATATTTATGGACTACATGCAGACTTTCAGATGAGTAATTAAATTCCTGTATCTTGTTAAATGTGTTTTGTAGGATCTGACAACTTCCTGCTTTAAAGAGCTTCCTCTTTCAGTCTTCAAAGTGCTTTCCAGTACAATTCTTGGAATTCAGAACAAATAGCTTTATGCTAATGGTAGCACTTTAACCTGATGTTAAGCTTTGCTCCACCCTTCTCACTTCAGCTTATCCTCCTGTTTTGTTCCCTAACACCTCTTTGACATTTTAAGATTCACTGTAGATACTAAAGATTATTAAATTGCTCCCTCTTGGAGAATGGAAGCTTTGCCATGGGTTCATCTGGAAATAGGATCAGGACCTGGATAGATGCACGTGATGTCTTGTAAGATGCACTAATACTCTTCCTGCCTGAGCAAACAGGACTCTAAATACTTCTGGAGCTTGTCCTCTAGCTCTCTGCAATACATATGCTACTACTTGATCAACTGGCAGTTGAAAACATTCAAGACATTACAATGTCTTCACATTAATTTGCTGGAATAAAAAAAAAAAAGCAACCCTGCAACAGGATTGACCAAAAAACTCCCAGTCAGAGGTGCTAAATTACACCTGAGTATAAGTGAAAACACATTAAATTCACAAGCACCTAATGAACTCATAATGAGCTGGTACTGTCACCATAAACTAATGCCAAAAAAGAGCTTGCAGACGTGGCCAGAGCTCTTGTATTTTAGTGTCTACAAGCACAATAAATATTACTGTGATTGGATTGAACTTCTACTTAAATGTTGTTTAAATGGTGATCACAGGCAGAAAACAACTCAAGTGTAAGATTTCATCCAGACCTTGGTTTTCTGGAGTCCTGTATGTAATGCTCAAGTTGTCCTAATGACATGTTAAAGCCATTCTTCTCTCAGTTCAGAATTTCCTTTAATCAGGGACAGGACTTTCAAAGGAAAATTCTGCCCTGTACCATCTCAGGACTTTCCCTTTCTCAGGAATGAACACGTGTTCATTCTTGGTTTCACCCAGCCCTGCAATTTACTTTCAGTCAACTGCTGCACTTTCCATGAAAGCAAGCTCAGAGCATCTATCCCCAACAGACCACATGCTTTTAACTTCACTAAATAAACAGAGAAAGATGAGAGAGGGCAACTCCCAGCATCATATCCTGCCTGTTCTGTCACAGATTGACCCACTTTTAGTAGAAAGCACGCTCATGTTTGTCTCCTCTAGCTTGAATCCACCAGATTACTTTAAAGCAGCTTAAACTTGCTCGTTCTGACCCCTCAGCCAGCCACTGCAGGTCTAATACCTGGGCCCTGTTTCCAGCCAGGTTGCTAGCACAGACATTTTCAGTGGTACAAAGGGAAAGGTAATAAATGCCTCTGTCCACTGAGTGGTGACCTTGCTAAATGACAGGAGGTGTCCTGAGCATGCCTTGCAGGCAGTGCTGTGGCCTTCTCTCAGGACAGCATCACAGGAATGCACATTAGTTCTGGAGGATTGATCTTGCAAGGATCAGTGCAAGGACATTTCAATGAGAAAATGAATAATTCTTTACTCTGATTATGGTGATTAATTCTGTTATGTCAGCAGCCTTTGGCACAGCCAGTGACAGCAGCAGATTTCACATGGGGAAAAAACCTAATTCAAGAGCCAAGAACCAGAAAGAGGTATTTTGTGTGGTTAATACTATTAATGACACATGAGCAGCTGTAATAATAAATATGTAGTTTTACATAGCTGCAGAAACACACATACTTTCCTTAACCCTATGTTAGACTTTGTCATGATGATTGGTTTATATTTGAAGCATATTTATTATTGAAAGAGGAAAAAAAACTGGCATTGTAGCTGGAATTGACCATGCTAAGTCAATTCCAGCTGAGACAATGAAGTCCAGCTGCAGGTGGACTCAACTGTGGAATTTTTTGGACCACATGAAGTTGAGCAAAAACTCAGTCAGAGGTGCCAATTTCACAGGAAGGCTGAGCTGGCAGGCACCCTGCTTCCCTGACATGAAGTCTGGTTATGCAAAAGATTAAACAAGGTTACTGCCAGCAACATAATTTAAGATGGGTAGGTCTTTGCTAGCACGTGAAGCTGGATGGCCCTGGAGTTTCAGTTTGTAAAGGGGATTTGGCTTTCAGACAGTGCATTAACTGGTTTCCTCTCTGGTTCTAAGGGAAGCACTGACCAGGTCATGCCCCTCCCTCCAGCACAGTTTCTTCCTTCAGCTGCCAAAACCAAGCTGTGCTCTTTGTCAGTTTGTCTTGGATGCATTCCAGCTCCTCTTTCACACTTTGATATGAGGCATTTAGGAGGGAAGTATCAAGGCCAGGTTCCTTGATCCTATTTTGTTAGGAAATTCTCATTTGGCAGTCCTAACATCATTAACAATTATTCTGAATAGGGTATGCTCTGCCAAAATATAACCTTTAGCTGCTAAGAAATAGTAGATAAAGCATGACAAAAGTAGGTAATTCTATAATCAGATCTTGACAGTTAACAAGAAATGGCTCTCTTGCATTTAAGCATGGCATTTAGAAAGCTGAAGGAACACTCTAGGTGGCTGCCCTTGTGCCTTGATCTGTCTGCTGCTGCAGTTCTCTCCTCTCAGTGCTCCCTGCCTGCAGGAGGACACTAAATGCTGTTCCTGAGGCCTGCAGGCTGACTTTCAAATGGGAATCCCTGCAAACATTTCTGCTAGTGTCCCCTCCTCAGCTCAGATGTGCTCATCTCTGGCCTTGTCCCAGCACAGGGGCACAGAGCAGTGTTTGACCCCAGCAGTTTGAACCCCACTGTGTTTTCTCACCTTATCAACTCCTATACAGGGATTGTTTCCTATCAGATTCTAACAGCTTTGTATCAGGTGGAAGGAAAGAGTTGAAGGCCAGGCACAGAAGAAACCAGTTTCTTTTTGATCTGATGAGAAATTATCTTATAGATTTCAGTGTCAGGGAGGATACACCAACATTTTCCTTGCAATAACATTTTTGATTATCTAGGGTGCACTTGTAATGACTGTATATAGCCCCATTGATTAATATCTGATGTTAAAAATCGCCTAAAAAGGTAATGTCCAAGTACACAGACAACTAAATTGATCTGCCTCACATAAACAAGAGAATTATTTTAGTGCAAATTTATATTTTGTATACAACCTGCTTTCCAGCTGTTCAGGGGAGATCAATATTTATGACAGTTCATTAGAGAATACAGTTGACTTTTATTGTGCAGACAAAAAAAAAGCAATCGCCAACCCACCACTACATAATTTTATGGTATCAGTCAACAAATTTCTTGTAAAAAATAACTTAATTTCTGATGAGCAAATGGAAACAAGTCGTACAGCTCTCCCACATTCCTATGCTGATAGAAGAAAATGGCATTGAACCATTGTAATCAGTAATTCAAGAACAAAATCATTGCTTAGGGAAATAAAAATATTCCTATTTTCTCTGCCAGTCCCAAACCCAGTCTCAGTCTACCCAAAAAAAAAACCACAACCCTCACTTGGAGTTATTGGAGAAGTCCCACACTCTTTACTCTAGCTTTGATCTGTAATTACCTGATGAAGCTATCCTACTGGCATGTCCACAACTTGGGTGAAGCACTTCTTGGCTCCTTCCAAGTGCTGCCAGCTTGCCAGCATACTAAGCTTAATCTTCTGGTTCCTCATAATGTGCATACCCACTAGCATAGGTCCTTCCTAAATTCAAATTGCTGAATACATCTGCAGCCTCAGTATCAGAATCCTTCCCTCCCTCATCGTTGTCATCTTCATCATCATCCTCTGCTTCGTATTCATCGTACTCCTCCTCACGGTCACCTGCCTCTGCAGCCTTGCTGGAGGAGAGGCTCTTCCAATAGGCATCATACCCAGCAGCTCCATCTGCATCTTCACCTCCAGTCTGTCGGCCAAACTTCAAAGAACGAGCTGCAGGCAGAGAAAAATCATCATGTTCCCACCCCTCAGTCTGAGCTGAGCATCTGGTGCTTGTTCTCCACCCTTTCTGACTCCTCAGCCAGGAGCATACAACAGCCTTTGCCTGAATAACCAGGTGCTTCCAGACCTGATCCTTACTCTGACAGACCTGCAGCCAACCTTGTACAAGCAGTAACTGCCCTCAGAGTAGGACTTGGGTTTTAGGACGAACCTTTGGCACTCTATAGCCAAGAAAACCTGTAACTGGATGTGCTTTGCAGACACAGTCCAGACAGTGATTTATGGAAGAGTGGCTGAGGTAGATTGTATGTGTGGCACAGAATCACCAGGGCTGGAAAAGGACCTCTAGGATTGAGTCCAACCTGCCTACCAGCATTTCCCTAACCATCAGACAATAGCCTCAAGTGCTGCATCTACTTGTTTTTTGAACACCTCCAGGGATGATGACTCCACCACCTCCCTGGGCAGCCCAATCCAGTGTCTCATCAAACTGCACTTTGAAATTCATTAGTGAGCTTTTTGTAGATGAAATTAATCACTTCAGCAGCGATTGTTTTTCAATTTGTCAATAACTAAAATCTCAAAACTACAGAGAACCTTTCACTGTATTGGAATCAGTCAATGGTAAAAGACTGCTCAATTCTAGAACTAAGAAACACCAAGTTTTCCCAAAGCAAATGGCTTTGCAAAACAATTGAAAGTAATCAGATTTTGCTGAGGGTTCCTATGCAGGAAAGCAGGCAGCACTGGCACTCTTACTGCTCGTTAGCTAGAGAAGGAGGCTTACTTGACATGCTCAGATCCTTTGTCTGTTGAGTTTCGTGGCCACATTTAGGGCAGGGAGGCTCTTTTCCTTTTTCCTGCTTGAAAACCTTACTTCTCACATGGTCATCACAAAAACAAGCCTGGGGGGTGAAAGAACAAAAAAGCTAAATGTCTTCATCACAGAAGCACACTCTTCAGCAAGAAGCAAGCAAAAAAGTGTCTAAGAGCAGCAGGGTTTTCTAGTTGGGATGAAAATTTAATGAGCTCCATCTACAGTGGAACTGGGGTCTGTGCAGAGAGCAGCCACTTCTGTTCTGAACGTGGTGTCACAGCTTCCAGGGCAAGAGGATGGATGAAAGTCCTGATAAACAAGCAGAGGAAGTAACACACTCAAGGACAGGATTATAGTGCTGCCCACAGGAAACCTGGCAAACTTTTGGCTTAGGTTGACAAGCATAAATAAAACACAACCAGATGTATGACAGGACTGCAGTGATCTGAAGGCAAGAATTAGAGATTGAAACTTCACACGCTGAGCACCAGGGTGGCAGTGAAGGTGTCTGGAGAAAGGAATCATCTGGACTATGAGGATGTGGAAGACTGCAGGGAAACAGAGAGAGGGTAAGGACAGTAAGAGCAGGCTGGAGAAATCAGGACAATGCTGATGAAGCACATGGAACTCTGGATACAAAAATTTTACTTCTGTAAAATCAAGAGCCTGGTGTCAAGAAATTAGCCTCTGTGTGTGTAAAACTGGATTAGCTGTGGAGAATATTTCTATTTGATCCAGGGTGCAGTGTTGTCTGGTCAGATCAACACCTGACTGTTTAAAAGTTGGATTTTTTTTTAAATTCTTAGCTCTATGCTGGATCAAAAGCTATTCCAGAGCCTTGAGTTCTACTCGAGACCAAGGATTTGGTTTGGTGGTGTTTTTTCAAAAGGCCCAAACATGATACAGCCCCAATTTAAGCACAGAGGAATGGACAAAAAGATTATCCTGGCATAAGGATGCACAACACTGGCTCGTAGTTAAGAGGCAAGCACAGACAAGAGCCATATCTGGTTCCCTGTAAGTCTAACCCCAGGCTTTAGAAACTAATACACAAGCATGAACATTGTTTAAACCATGTAGAGGCAGACATGACAAGGCTTGATCCCAGCAGAAGGAGAAGCAAGTGGCTGTGATTTCAGACTTGAACTGTCTTTACCTTACACCGCAGGCACGAGTGCTGCCCAAGCCTGTTACAGGACACACCTGGTGGAGAAAATCAATATGGAAAAATTCAGCACCTGGAAACTGCAGCTCTGAGATGTTTTTAAAGCCTTGTAAAAGTCTGTGATAATGTAAGAGAGGTATTTATTTTTAATTCCCTGACACAACTGCTCTTTGGCAAGACAGATCAGGCATTTTACCATACAGTAGCATTTTACTAGATTTTTTTTTTCCCCAAGTCTAAGCCTCATTACTTCTTGTGTCAAATTACATTAGTACAAAAGTTCAAGAGGGGTAAAAGTTTAGCTATTTCTTCAGTTTCCAAACTTTCTAAAACAGAGGTTTGAGAACCAATTTGGTATTATGTGATCATCTTGGCTTTTCCTTTTCTCACAATGTCAAAAGGAGTGCTAACATTTTACAGTCCTGGTGCCATGGCAGCCTTTAAAACCTTTATCTCCTCTAAATGGGATGTGAGAGCACTCAAAGCTTGCAAACTTCCAAACACAGAAGAGTTGTTTTATCCAGTATTTTCCAGAGGACACGAGAGGAATGTACTTTATAGAGCATAAATTGCTATGAAAATCTACCCAAACGTGTCAAAGAATTGCAGCTGGCCCATGAGCTGTGAAGAGCAGGATCAGTGCTCAAAAACTAACTCAGCTTGAAGTTCCAAATCAGTTTCTTTAGTCCACTAGAGGGAGTACAGTAAAGGCAACCACACGGGAACTGGTTCCAACATGAGGCTGGAGGACGAGCAGAAGCTCCTAAGTATTTTACTGGTCTCTGTGCAAGTGTTCCTTCCCTTCCACCTCACCTCACTCCTGCAAGAGCTGAGCTTCTGCACTGAAGCAGTAAATACAGGGAGCTTTCCACATGAGCAGGACAGCCATGGGATTTGGCACTTGGTCATGTGCTTGAAGTTAAGTGCTAATGCATATGTACTCAAACATTTCTGGAGGATCTGCACTTAAAATCTTCTCTCAGATAGTGATAGCAAGTAACAGTGCCTTTTTCTCAGCTAGAATGGGATTCACACTACAATTGCATGACCACATTTAAAGTTCTTGTGTTCTGCAAAAGTTCAGGCTTTATAATCTTGCTACCACACGCTGACAAAAATTCTGCCTCTCTCCCAACACCACACTGTGCCACAAAATGTCCAATGCAGTGAAAACCCTCAAAAAAGCAATTTCTCTATTCAGGGTGTGACATCACATCTGTGAATTAAAAGCTTCCAACAATCACTGAAAAAAAAAAAAACCACATTCTTATGGAGCAGCTGTTGCTGTTCCAATATTGCCATGCAGGAAGGTAGTCAAGGGGAGCTAATCAAGGCTGTGAAAATGGATGGCTGGGAAAAAATGGCTGGCTGCAGATGAAAAGGAGATCAGAGGTTCTTCTAGAGACACACACTCTAACATTGAAATCAACAAATGTTCTGAATTGGGAGAAATCAACTGGGACAAGAGATGAGTCAATTCTGATGAAAAGTTTTTATAATGAGCACCATGGCCTTTTATAAGAAGGGCTGAAAGTGTTATAATAGTCAAAGTACAGGTGCACAGGTTTTGGAAGGGCCAAACACTTGTCTCATGGGATAAACCAAACAGTCATTAATGAGGTGTAGAAGTTTCCCAGAAGCTGCCCAGAGAACAGCAACAAAGCTGGTGAAGGGCCTTATGAGGAGCAGCTGAGGAAACTGTGGCTATTTTGCCTTAAGAAAAGGAGGCTGAGGGGAGACCCTATTGCTCTCTACAACTACCTGCAAGGAGGTTGTAGAGAGGTGGGTGCTGGTCTGTTCTCCCTGGTAACAAGTGATAGGAGAAGAGGAAGTGGCCTCAGGTTGCACCACAGGAGGTTTAGGTTGGTTGTTAGGAGAAATTTCTTCACAGAAAGGCTTGTCAAGCCCTGGAACAGGCTGCCCAGGGAGGTGGTTGAATTACCATCCCTGGATGTGTTTAAAAATCATGTAGAAGAGATGCTTAGGGACACAGTGGACTTGGCAGAATTAAGTTAATGATTGGACTTGATCTTAAAGGCTTTTTCCAACATGGATTACTCTGTGATTCTAAATCATAGAATGGTTTGGGCTGGAAGGGACCTTAAAGATCATACTTGTACAAGAGATTAGTTATTTCAAACATGCATAGTCTTGGTTTAACTTTCCCTGAAGTCTCCAGTTTCAGCCAGAGATGAGTAACAAAGTCAGGCATGGCCACTGTCCTTGTACAAATAATCAGTGTCAAGTGTTGTCCACAGATGTAGTCTTCAGCTACCTGTTCTTTACTCAGGTAAAAGTGGACATGTATTAACATTCACTACCTCTGCTGACACATGTCCACAGTCCCCTGGTCAGTGAAGAAACTGAGTTCATGTTCTGAAGGAAAACTATTCCTGTTACTTCCATGCTCACCCTGTCTCACTGAATCAGGTTCTGGAGCACAGAGGAAGCAACTGCAAAGTCTGTTTAGCTGTGGTGAGAGGGACTATGAGTAACTTACATTTAAATGTCTCTGCTTCCAGAACTTGGCAGCTGGCTTGGTGTTCAAACTGATCATCTTCACAGAGGAAATTGTGACAAAAAGAGCAGGCGAATATTCTGCCTCCTGAAAGATTTATTAAGGGAAAATAATTAGCCATGGGCACAGGCATCAAGGTCTGCTCTGCAAACAACTTAGGCAGGAGTTCTGACTGAAGACCAGTTCTCCCTTCTGTCACATATGCTTCAGCAAAGTCCTAAAGTAGATGCTGGCATCCATCATCACACTGTGTATCCT